ATCCACAGCCCACACGGCCGCATGCCACACAACGACTGTGCTCATGCCCGAACTCTGATGGCTGTAGGCTCTCGCTGCCTCGTTTTGACCGCTGAATCCTGGGAGGCAACCTAATGTAGGCGCCTGAATAATTAGAATAGGGTTTTCAGCTCCTTTTACGTAGATTTACAATAAGGAGCCCTAGGAATAACATTGATAGTTGTTTAGGCTTCTCTAGTACCCCCTGTTATGTGGAATGGCCTGCATTTCGGAACCTGGACCCGGTGTCAGCAGTCGACTGTGCGGAGTATGAAGAAACTTACGCAAGGCGGCGATGCAAAGCATGGCCACTGGACTCTACGCCAAGCTGAAAGACCGGCTGCGGTTTGGAATGGAAACCCTAAACCCTAAACCAAAACCCTATCAGTGTAGCAGCAACACTAGCAGTAGCAGCAACCCCCTAAAAAAGTTCCAGCAGCCCCAAACAGCAGTGGACACTCCGAACTCGAACAAAAAACCTATGAAACCAAAGGAAACCATACTGTATCCCGATGTGAAACCCCATCAAACCTTAGGAAACCTCGTCGCTACATGAAACCTCCTCTCCGGCGAACACAAGGTTGGTGTTGAGCAGTGGATTCTTCCGCTGCCGGGATCATGGAAACTTAAACTACCCAGAGAGCCCAATACCCCTTGATTAAGAAACATTGCTTAAATCATATGATGAAGCCCTATACAATTTAAGCCATATTCCTTAGTTAAGGGGTATTGGGCTCTCTGGGTACTCTTTTAAACGAGACCAGAAGAGCCAAGGCGCACATCCCCGAAGAAGCAGACCAAAGCCACTCCAAGAGGCAGCAGGCCCAAGTGGCCTTTTTCAAGAGGTTTTAGGGTTTAGGGTTTAGGGCTTAGGGTTTAGGGTTTAGGTCTGCGGGGGCGGGATATGGAGGTTTATGAGGATTTGTAGGGTTTTTGGTTTCAGGGTTTAGGACTTTCACAGATGTTTGCTTGTTGTTGACGTTCAGGTGTCGAAGAAAGGATCTATGGAGTCTTTAGATGGGGTTCATAAGGGGATGTAGGTTTTGGCCCTACCTGAGCCCCGAAGAACCTTCGTCCGTGCCTAAATCTCAAATCCTTGAGAATGCCACATTAAGAAGCATTAAAACAGTAAGGACAGGAAAAACAACCAACACAAGAACACTCGAAACTGCAAATTTACTCCAAACCCTAAACCCTAAACCCCTAAACCCGATCCCATATGGCACGGGTGCCTGCTTTGAAGACCTCGATGATCTGCGCGAGGCCCAGCCACGTAAAGCCGAGGCCGGCCAGTGCCATCATCAAGGAGGCCTCCCAAAAGGGTTTAGGGTTTAGGGTCACAGCCTCCAAAAGGTGACACTTGGAGGATCGGGGGACTTAGTAAGTAGTTATTTTACAGACTTATAAGTATCATAACCCCAATTAGGGCCCCCTTTAAGGGCCCTCAGAAGTCTACTTATAGCCTACTTACTAAGTCCCCCGACCCTCCAAGCAGTGGCAGTTCAAGGCTGAGGGTTTCAGGGCTCGGGGTTTTGGGGTTGGATTTGTACATATGTTCGACATAGAACAACGATCTGTGGAGTTTGGGGCTTGGGGTTCAAGGTTTTGTTTGGGCCAGGATTTGCAAACACATGAGACTAACAACAATACTGTTCGGGCTTTGGAGCTTTGGGTCTTGGGGCTAGGATTTATCAACAGAACAGTCACACAAATAGTACTGTGTGGGTGTCGGGGTCGGTCAGGGTATACAAACATAACAGCAATAGTAACAGCAATCGAGGTCGAAGTAATCAGAGCAGTAGGGATGGTAGTGGTAGTAGTCGTAGACACGGTCCTAGTCCCGGTCGTAGCGGTAACGGTAGCTGTAGTCGTCGTAGTAGTAGTAGCAGCAGCAGTAGTCGTAGTAGTCGTCGTCGTATTAGTCGTAGAAGTAGCAGTATGAGCAGTAGTAGCAGTAGTAGTACTAATAATAATAGTAATAATAATAATAGTAATACGAAAAATAGTAATGACAGTGATAGTGATAGTGATAGTTAAAGTGATAGTGATAGTAGCAATGGTAGTAGTAATAGTAGTAACAGTAGTCATAGTAGTAATAATAGTAATAACAGCAGCAGGAGTAGTAGTAGTACTAGTAGTAAGTAGTAGTAACAACAGGAACAACAGCAGCAGAAACAGTACTGGCAGTAGTCGTCGTCATAGACACAGTACTAGCAGTAGTAGTCGTGGTCGTCGTCATGGTGGTAGGGGTCGTTGTACTGATACTTGCAGTGGTGCCGGTAGCGGTGCCGGTGGTAGTGCCAGTGGCAGCGGCAGCAGGCAGCAGCAGAGGTAGCGGATGTGGGAGATGTAGTTTCAGTGGCAAGCAGTGATAGTGGCGGTAGCAGAACTAGTTTCGCAAGTAGTATAAGAAGAAGGAAATGTCGTCGAAGCATGAGTAGTAGAAAAACATAGCAATTAGATGCATCAGCTAGTACTACTGATGAGTACGACGGGATTCAGGCTTGGCGCTTCGGCATACACGGCAAAATTCCACCTCAATTAACGCCGAACTGGTTGGGTCACCATAGAATTGCACGAAAGATGCGGAGTTGTCAAACCAAAGAGGATCACAAATTTAGAAATTAGAAAAATTCTGAAAAATCCTCCAACCCCAAACCCTCAAACCAAAACCCTAACCCGTTGACGGCCCTGAGCCCTAAACCTAAACCTTACAAACTACCTCCGGAGTCGAGCGATGCGATCTTTTCAGTTGCAGGACAAGTCCCAAAGATCAGAGCAGAGTGCATAGTCCAAAGTGCGTCTGGGTTTTTAGGGTTTCGTGGTTTGCAGGGTGTAGGGTTCGGGGCAGAGGGTTTAGAGTTTAGGGTATGACAGTTCAATCCAAGCCTGTGGTGCCACACGCACGATCAACGGCCCCGCAAAGCCACAGAGAGTTGCAATAGCCTCTTTCTGGTGTGACGGCTGGGCTGAATTAGTGCCGCCTTGCGGGTGCCTACTTTTCAACGACCAAAATCACCGAGACGCTCCACATTGGGGTTGCGGTTTAGCTTTGAATGCTGGTGATGGGTCTCCAAACCCCTACCTCAAGTATCAAGAGTGTCAAGGCCGTTTCTCGTGCAGATGTCCTCTCTCAATGTACCCATCACCTCGACGACGATAGGCTTAGTCTCCAGCAACATTGTAGTGACAGATGTTAATCATTAGAATAATCACGACATCAGCGTCAGCAGCAGAAGCGCTCTACAGCAGCTCCGAGTTCGATCATAACTGGGTTTAGGGTTTAGGGTTTCGGGTTTAGGGTTTTGGGTTTAGGGCTTCGGCTTAGGGCTATTATAACCTTCATGGACCTCCATCGCAATCAGCATAATTGTCGCCCCCATCATCACTACATTACAACCACCATCCATGTGCTACATCTAGCAGCCGCCAAAACAAACTGAAGCAGGAGAAGAGTGACGGGAACCCGCATTCCTCCCCACAACCCAGCCTGAAAATCCCAAGTCACGCAGGAATACGTGAATGTATGCATGCATGTATGTATGTATGTGTATCTGCATGTGTAAGGCTCAGCAGCGACTGCGACTCAACAAATCGAGTCGGTAGCCCCTTGTTCGGGGCTTGGTGCGGTGTGGTGCTTGGTTGGGTGTTTGTGTGGGGTGGTTCCGTTGCTTGGGGGTCTCTTTGGACTTCAGGGGTGTCATGCCCGCCATGGTATTGGACACACCTGCGAAAGTCCGTAGACTGACACTGAGCGGCGAATTTTACACCACCCTGCCGAGCAACAAGATCCACGGCCTGCACTTGTGCAACACGGCAGGCGCCAGACTTAGACCGGGACGTGCTTTTGGACATCTGTGTGCGCTCTTTTGCCTAGCATGTGTCAATCACCAGGGCAACGAGCCAACGCCAAGCACATCAGGTCAGCCCTGGCAGCTTGATCAGCCGTACTCTCCTACTGATTGCGACCGGCCCAGGCTCACAATTCCATCTGTTGCCCGGAGCTCGTTTCTCTGGCAAGCAACCCAGGGGGCTTATACAGCAGCGGTTACTCACACGGAGTCCCCGAACGCAACGCCTGCTCCTCAAGACTGCGACGCCATGTCCATTACAATGCCAACAGCGGCACCACGACCTGTCATGCTCCACACGTTGGATTGGCACGACTCTGCCTTCTTACCACAGCCGTGGCCTCATTACCGCACAGTCAAGCCAGTGAACAGTTCGTATTCTACAATGCTTTCAGGCTGCCGCGCATTGTACATCTGGAGGCTATGGATTAGAGCTGGTATACTCTCTTTGGGGACAAAAGATTGCTTGCATGCGACGTCTGCCCTCACCTTACATGTGCAGGTAGGACCCCCACATTCTGTAAGCCACGAGGGCTTAGGGACGGCCGGGCCTCTGTGCGATCAGTGTCAGCCTTGGAGTGGTCCATGCCTTGGTGTCATTCACCCTGGCACCTCCCCTTTGGCTCTGCCTCGACTCACACGGCCCAGGTTTGAGGACACCTCGCCTTTGGCCGTCGCCTTGAATATGCCGTTTTGGCCTCATGACTCCCATTACCTGCTGCCACCAAGGTTTGAGGCTACCTCGCCTGGTGTGCTGTACTCAGCTTCGGGACCAACCATGCCTCGTCACATGTCTCGCCACATGAATCTTATCAGCACTGCTCTGTCCTGTCACCCCAGGTTTGAGGCCTCCTCGCCCGGTGTTCTCTGCCCAGTTCAGGGCCTGCTTCCCCTTGAGCACGACTGCTTCCTCTATCACCCAGGTCCTGCTGACTCTGCTAACGGTCTCCCTGCTGAGTCCTTCGTCCTCAGCTCAGCACTTGCTCTGCTCGCACGACCCAATCAGGAGTGTCTAGTACCTTACTCCTCAGAGTTTGTTATGCCAGATCTGTATCGACTGTCCATAGCAAATTGGGCTCTGCAGAAGGACATCGACGGGACACTGCGTCTCTTTTCATCAGGTGTTGAGCGATGGCGAAACGCCGAGCGGCTGATGCTGGCAATGGGGGAGCAGGAGGCGGACGAGGCCGTGGCAAGGCCAGAGCCAAGGCCAAAACGGCTCCAGAGGCGGAGTCCAGTGATGAGACGTCGTCTCCCCTCTCACCGGACTCCGAGCCAGATCCATCCGCCAGACCAATGGCATCCTCGCTTCCGGCTGGACCTCCGCCTCCGACTCCGGTCAACCTGCCTGGACTATCGAGTGCTGCTGGCTCTCCGCCTGCCAAAGCTCGACCAGCTGGACCACCTCCACCCAGCCCTGCATCGACACCTCGCATATTGCCGGCGACTTTCGCAGGTGCTTTGCGAGCCTCGGCAGAGATGGGAGTCTCGGTGGGCAACTCCAACGACCGGACCAGGATCTCCGACTCCAAGGGCGCCCACTCCCACGACCAGAGCTGGATCGTCTCAGCAAAGCGCTCCAATCATGGTTCCAATACCTCCGCCGGGGATCCAGTACATTGTGCGAGTCAGTGCCTTGGTGGAGAGGCCTCGACCGCCGCCATGATCTTGATGATCTTTCTTGCCCTGTGCTCTTACCGCACACAGCGACTGCAAAGGCGAGGGCTCTTCTCTCTTCCTGGGATACAGGGAGGCCATTTTGCAGGGACCTCTACCTGCCGTCACCGACCAGGCTTCACCCTGCTGCACTTGAAAAGAGCACTGGTCGACCCTATCGGGAGCTTGCATTGTTGAGTATAAGTCCTCTGTGCCTCGATTTTGCGAATTGTGCTGCTCTCAGGTCTTCCACCCGGGATGGATGCGATTCCACCGGCACTGACTCGCCTCGTGCACAGCCCTTAGTTGACTGGACGTGGTGCACCTACTGGACATACGCCTTGCTCGCCTCCGACAGGTGCTACGGTTCCTCCCCTGTGTGGCCGGTGTATCACGTCTGTGCCTCACAGCCTGTCGCATTGCAACCAGAGTTTCTATTCAATCATGGTGATACCCCCTGGGCAGCCCAGCACTGGGCCACGAGCCAGCTTTACACTGGCACTGGGGCCCAAGCTAGCCTTACGGTGCCCCAGCAGTCGTCCTGGATCGCTGTGATCAGTGATTCCCTTCTCCTTAAAGTGCCATGGCCCACTCAGATCCCTCCTCCTCGGATCTTGAGGATCGGGCTCCGCTCATGCATCTTGTGGGAACTCCAAATGCAGAACCGGCTGGACCTCCGATTCCGACACCTGTGGCTGCCTGTGGCACCCATGGGTCCTGCGCGACGTGCCAGACGTAGTCGGGGTGGAGACCAGCACTCACGAAGCCGAAGCCCACTACGCCCTCACTCCATGTTCTGGGAGGTTCCTCCAACGACGACCAGACCAGTTCGGGGGCAAGTTCTCACCAGCTCTGAGGGCAGACAGGAGGTTACCTTGGAGATACCTATTGATGTCTCAATGCTGGCAACGGCGACTCCAAGCACGGTCCTGGCCATTACCATTCGGCTGCATCCGTATGATGGAACCCCCTCATCCTAGATGTGGGCCGGTGTCTGTCCTATTTTCTTCCTGCAGGAGCAATGGCCGGCTACACTGTCCCTCTTCAGGCGGGTCGGAGCTCTCTTTTCCCCACCCCATGCATTGGGTGCAAAAAGTGCCGCTACCTTTTGAGCGTCTCGCCTGTGAAACACTCCTTGCACGATGCACGGCCACCTGTCACGTCATACATCCTGTCGTGCTCTATCAGCTTGCCGCCAATGTGGGCTCCCTATCCAGGACACACCTCAGGAAGCCAGCGCCTTGGTCCCAGCATGTCCTCAGCCAGTATGGTTTTCCAACATGCCAGCAGTCTGTGACACGACGAACTGGGATACCCTCCCATCCTGGTCGTGTGGGCCTCAAAGCAACGTGCTTGCCAGAGTCAACCAAAGTAGTCTCTAGTGCCTCCTGCCTCTGTAGTTCATGGCTGAGCAACCGAGTGCGACCATGGCCGGGACCCATCGTGCTTCGCATGCCACTACTACGGATTTGCCCGTGTCTCTCGATCACGATAAAGACACAGGGGAGGAAACTCGACAGGAGGACACCGACCCCAACTCTCCTACAGAGGGAGACCTCTTATATGCTGCCCAAGTGGCAGAGCAGGCTTATCGACGCTGGCAAGCAGAGATCCGCCCTGAGGTTGCCAACTTGGCACCCACTCAAGGCACATTGTCAATTAGACAAGCCAGTCGTAGCAGAAGCCCGCAGCGCTCTATACCACCATCTGCTTCAGCACAGCAGGCGAAGTGAACCAACTGACATGCTGCTAGGAAGCGAGGTCTCACTACATTACGGTGATGGACCCACGCATTTGGCACGGATTGCGCACCCCTCTGCGCTAGCGAAAAGCAGGCCTGCCTCAATGTGGATGCCCAGCATACTCGATCCATGGCCATCCCTCTCTTATTTGGCCCCCGGGTTTGAACAACGTGCTGGACGAGCACTGGCCATTGCAGGAGCACTCTCTCCCTCCGGACGTCGGATTCTTGAGATCTGGTCTGTCTTGTGTGCGACGTAACTGTTGTGCCCTGCCTCCATACGCTGCACCACACCGCGTTGTTGATGTTGGCTCAATGGTTCATTGCTCCAGGCCTACCCTTTTCAGCTCCCCATGGAGCCCATGGCAGTATGCAAAACTGCCCTGTCTCGGCTCTTTAACTAAGGCCCCTCGGACACAGTGTGGCCGTGATCGTGATCTCATGGATCGACGAGAAAGGCGAAGACAACGACAAAGCCAACGGCCCTGTCAACTCAACCGCCTCTACACCGACCTTGAGCCTGAAGCTACGGATGTCTCCCCCGCCGGGGTGACCAGCCCACGTGGGTCAGAAGTGGGACAATCTGGAGGTACCGCTGGTGATGTCAATACTGCCACCACTGGGGCACCTGCCGAGGCTAGGGACCCTCGTCCCCCGAGCAGTCACTTCGGTCTACCGACCAAGCCAGATGGTGGAGAATATTGGCTGGAACCTTTTGGACCACCGTGCGCTGAGGCGCAGCTAACAACCAGCGAGCTGCAGCGACTCAGATTTATCAGGTGGAAAACTCAACAACCACCTCCCACCACCATCTACTTACGCCCCTACTTACGGGGGCCCGCTGACTCCTCTCACGACACCTCCTTTGCCGGCCTGGGCTGCGCGGCCATTATGACCAAGGCGACTGGATTGACCCAGGATGCAGACTCACGCCCTAGGACGGGCTCTCGGCCTCTTCCGGGAACCAAGCTGAAGGAGCCGGATGATTTTGCTGGCCCAGCTCCTGTACAGCCCGACACAGAGCATAACAAGGCCACTGCACGACCTCGTCTCCGCCGGGCCAGGCAAGGGGGCAAGCAAACCAAAAGGATCGAGATCTCCAGTGATGAAGAGAGTGTATCCACCCTCTCATCCTTCTCCGACGAGCTCGGCCCAGCGAGATGACCGTGGGCAGCCTAGTTCTTCGATCCGTGCGACCACTACCGCCGCCATCGACACTACCTACTACGACCATGGCACCCGAGCAGGCACCTGTTGAGGCACCTTCTGCTGATCCGAAGCAGCCCAATCAGACCTCTGAGGAACCACGATCCGAGTCTGGAGACCCATTCGGTCGTACGCCTCTACCCCGACGGCGACCAGCCCAAGTGGATCAAGGGGAGTCTGCTGAGGGTATCACTCCGGCTGGGGTAATCTATCAACTACCGAAGAAGGTACCCAAGAAGCGGCCGGCTCCAACAAGCTTGCCTCCCCAGGAGCCTCCTGCCCCAACATCGTCTTCGAAGACTTCGGCTTCAGGTGAGCTCACTACCAAAGGCACCGATCGTGCTGAGCTACATGCCGCCGACACCACTATGGCCCAGGAGACTCAGCCTCCTGACCTGGACACCATGGTCACTACTGAGCCATTGCCTACCACCTCAACTTCGAATGAGGAGAAGCAGACAGGCCCTCAGGAGAAGACGAAAAAGACCCCGAGGCCAACTATGCAAGAAGGTGGCAAAACTACACGCAGACCACCACAGCTACCGAAGAAGAAACGAGGACCCAAGACCAAGCTCAGCCAAAAGCCGCGCCCAGCACAGACTGCGGATGTGTATGATCCCGACTACAAGCCTGACGCGGCCAGTCGCCCAAAGCGACGCAGTAAGTGGCTGAACATCAGCCTTGAAGATAGTCCTAATGAGACCCCCAAGCGGGGCAATGACACAGGTGACTCGATTTCGGCTAGTGCTGGGTCTAAGGAGACCCAGTCAGCAGCCCCTTCCTTGCAGTTGCGATGGAGGATTACATGGCACGTCCTTGTACTTATTCTTGTGTTGCCTCACTTGCTCGCATTTGCTTTGGCCGACACCTACGTGTTTCGAAACTTCGAGTGCCAGTCCGAAAACCAAGGTCAGGTCGCCATCCTCGCTCTCATCGATATGCTCGCCAGCTTAGCTTGAGACGGTGTCTCTTCAAACGCATTCGCTTCCTACTGGAGTTGTGGCTTACGCCAGGCTTGCATTCCACTCAGCTGCTTCTTAACCGTGTCCTCCAGGTCGGTCAGTGCCGCCTGTCCAATGGCCTCGGCGCGATCACTGTCGCACACCTAGCTTGTCTGTATCTGTGGTGCGAGACACGATTGTTTGCTTTCCCTTGGTCCTGTTTTCTACTCTCCCACATCGCACCCACGCTGCACACTACATCAGTCGCTGAGCCCGGTCCCAAATCCGGGCATGGAGGAGATAATGATTCTGTCTTGACCGTTACCAATAAATGCCGACACTTTGTCCATCATGGGACCCTCATGAATGAATTTTGTGACTCCTCCACTGAGCCGAGGGTTGAGTGCTGGAACCCACCGCACTCTGAACCTCCACTGTTGCCACAATGACTGTTCAGATAACAGTGGAGGGAAGCTCGGGATTCCTCAATCAGGCGCTGCTTCACGAAGCCGCCACCCCTATTGCACTACCTCTTCTCCACCCCCGCGTCTAATCCAGCATGCAACAGCCACAACCCCCGTTGTGGCCACGACCTCAGCCTTGCGGAGCCCCATGCTCTCCTGTAAGGAGCCTCTCCGCCTACATGCGTGTACCAAATGTGCTCCGCCCGACCCATCTCTCCGAACTGGATCCAGCAGTGAGCTGCCATTCTTCATTCGAATCCTCGGTCGACTGACACTGGCCTGTCACCTATGGACTACACCTGCACATTCCGCTGCTACTGCAGTCTCTGCTACCCCCGTTTTCCCGCCCCCACCCCGCAGGGAAAAAGGGCGTACAATCGGGCAATTCAGCGTGCGACACACAGTCCGCTGCAGGGCACGTTCTACAGGGGACGATGGTGCTCATTGCATACTCTCCGATCGCAGGCCATACACAGCCACTCTGCTCCTCTGCCAGTGTACCAGCCCACCCAGCCTGAGGCTTCCCCCTTTGAAGATCCTTATAGACTCCGGTGTGTAACATATAACATTGGTGGACTCAGTCAAGATGCGCATGCCGAGCTGATGCACTTTCTTGCAGCTCAAGATCCTGCGGTTCGTCCCCACGTAATCTTTTTGCAAGAAACGCATTGGAAATCAATTTCTGATTATTCCACGAACCAGTGGCATATCGTATCCACACCAGCGGAACCGGCAGCATCCGGTGGTGTTGCCATTTTAATCTCCGTTGATCTCTGCTCTTCAGATTCCATACTCACGGCTTCGCCCATCCAAGGCCGGCTACTGCACGCTCGTGTCCAGCTAGGCTCCGCATGCCAGCTTGATCTGGTAAACCTATATCAGAAAATCCTGATAACCAGCTCGACAAGAGGCAAGGACGCGCAGACCACCGACTCGCGTCAGCTTCGACGCGAGGTTTGGCGCTCCTGGCGCCAGCTCCTTGGTAGCCTCCCACGGCGGAGCCTGTGGATCATTGCTGGAGATTTCAACACCAACCTGCAACCCAACGCCCGGATTGTCGGTGCCAGAGCTGCTCCCTTCATGAAAAGGCCACAACCGGACTCTAAAGAAATGATGGACGTTGTACAAGACCTAAGGCTGCTACACCTCAATTCGTGGACCAGGCGAGCGAGGGCCACCTATCGATCGACACAGGGAAACACCCTAATCGATCATGTGTTCTTACGACAAGATCAGTGCGACGTCGCCGCTCGACAGGCTGGTCCCGTTGACTGGCCCCTCACACGCTGGAGAGGCGGTGGCAGGCATTGGCCCGTCCTCTTTAGCGTTCCTGTGCCTACAAGACCCTACAATTCCAGGTGCGTTCAACCACAGTCCCCCCTCGACAAAGCGGAGCTCCTCAGGGTATGTCGCTCAGCAGATGACCCCAGAGTACAGGCCTTTCGCCAGGATGTACGGGACTGGCTCGCTGCCAATCCCTGTGGCACAATCTCTGAAGTCAATCAGCATCTACATGAGACATCCATTCGGTTCTTCCCCTCTGCACAGAAGTCTGCCAAGACAGGTACTTGGCAACATCCAGCCGTCTCTTTATCAGTCCGACAAATGTGGGCAGCCTACAAGGATTG